TATCGATAACTTATTCGTCCAGTCGCCAGACATGTAGACACTTCGTAAAAACAAAGGAAGTGGCATGATCGAAATGCACCATTTTCTGTCGTACCCGATTTTTTTTTTTTTTATTTTTGCCGCTTTAGGTTTTTATGAAGGGTAAAAAATTATAATGTTCGGAAAATCAGAATTTTAAGGGGTTTATCGCAAATTTGGAATGAGAGGTAAAAAATCAGTATAATTCCGACAAAATCAGAAGGGTTGGCAGGTCTGCATACAATCAACTTATGAATTAAAAAGCAAAAAGTGATTCATTGTATTCTCTAGCCAATATTACTAAAGCAAAAATTGTTTGATAAATTTGTATCATCGACCTAACACAACTGTTCAGTGTTATTTAAGACTTAAGATACCTCTGCTCAATAAAGTAGCCATTTCCATATGATTTTCATGCAGGGTCGGGTCTTGGTTTATAGAGGGCTGCTGCCTTTGTTTAGTTGTTCTCCTACTCTGCTGCTGTTGAAATGTTGGTTTTGGTTGCTGGTGACTAATAAAGGAACAAGAATTTCAAATTTTATTCGATTTTAAGACTTATAACAAAAAGTTAAAACAAAGTTTTGACATAGATGGTGCAAACCAAGATTTGATTTTTAAACTTACCCCAAAATAAATTATCCAAAATAAAAAGTATTGATATTAAATATATTTTTTATTGTTCATCATGTTGTATTTTGTCTCCTGAAAAATTTGGAACCTTTCTTTTTAAATAAAAAAGTTTTTGGCATAATAATTTAATAAGAAAGAAATGTGGTAAGTTGGTCATATATTTTTTGTCATTGAAAAAAAAAATACTGTCAAGTGTCAAAGTATCGACAATCAACTCTAGGCCTAAATTTATAATTGGGAAAATAGTACAGATCTGGCCTACTTATAGTTGGCTACTATGCTTATACTATTATATTTATTTACCGGGTATTTAAATAATTGCTACAACAATGCAACTTGTGAATTCATTATTCTATTTCTTTCATTATTTGAATTTGTGAAGTAAATAACTATAAGCATAAATAAGTCAGGTGGGAATGTGAACTAAAAAGTACAAAGATTAACCTATTACTAGTGTTGTAAGCATGTTAAATGCTAGCCATGTATTGTTTATAGTCTAGTATAATGTTTAAGTCTAAGTAGTAAGTAGGCCTATAACCGGCCTAAAACATTGTCATTTATGTGAATGTGTGATTATTAAGTGAAGGTAGGTCTTAGTAGGGGTCAAAAAGGACACGTTTACCTGATGTAACAGTCGCATCATGGTAATCAATAGTTAATTTCTTTAACAATCAACATATCCTACGTGAACAAAAAAACGTATCTTAAGAATGAAAAATTAATCCCACCTCATCTCTGCAAATTGTTCGTCGTTTCCTTCGGCTCTGTTAAAAGATTTCGCTGAAATTGGTGTTTTATCTCGGGTCTCGACGTAACTTTCAAGATCAAATGGTCTTGAAGGCCCTAACATGAAGAAAAACACATTTCAAATCAGAAAAAAAAGTTTTAAAAAATCACGCGGTAACAAATTAATAGCATAACCACCCATTCATACAATACTAACTTAATTAACTCACCTCTGCGAACGCTCGCAACAATTTGGCTTGGTGCTTTAGGTTTTGTCAGCGTGTACATTCTATGGTGTGTTTACAGTGCCCTGCGCACATTCTACGCGCAATGAGTTTCTGAAGTGTTATATAGATATGGTAAGGACCACTGAACAACGTCTAAACAGGAACATTAATAATTTGAAAATAAGTTTTTACATGTTATCTTTGAAAATACGAAACATAAATAAAATAATCCTGCTCCATTTTCTTTTATTTTACGTAGTAATTTAATTTTAATTATATATATTTAATATTTCACATAATACCATAGAGCGCCGCTGGTGTAGTGGTATCATGCAAGATTCCCATTCTTGCGACCCGGGTTCGATTCCCGGGCGGCGCAGTTTTTTTAATTTTCATCAAAATAATTTTTTTTAGACATAAATCCCATTCCGGTAACTAGTATGGCACAATTCTTAAATATTTTCCACATCACCGAATATTTGTAGAAAATAAATTAATGTCCCTCTCATTTAAGGATGTTATGCATAAATAATGTTTGATAAAGAATGAAAATTAGACAAAGGTCGTATACGCTTAATTATTAGTTACCGGTACTAGTTATTAGTTATTAATGAGTTTGCCGAACACTTGCCTATCCTAACAATAAAATAACTTATTATTAATTAGTACTACAGGCATAGCCTTCGCGCCTTTGGCTAGGAAGTTAACTAAGTTATTGTCTATTAATGTTATTTCATGTGAATTTGTTTATCATATTTGTCTACCATATTTTCCAGTTAATGCATATTGATTGGCTGTGTTGCTTAGGGTGACTTGGTATGCTTGTAATTAGTTTTGTAGTGTTGCGTTTGTTTTAAATGTGGTAAATAATAGTTGGTTTTTTTTTGGTGTTTTTTGTGCGTTTTTTTGTTGTGTTTTTTTTTTTTTACTTTGTACCGCGCTTCGAGCCTTTGTGTTTTTTTTATTAAACTTAATTATTATTATTATTATCTAACTGAGTTCCAACTTTTTTTTTGTTTTGTTTTTTTTTATTTTGTTAAATATTTTTTTTTTTTTTTTTTTTTTTTTTTTTTTGTTTTTTTTTTTTTTTTTTTTTTTTTTACTTTGTACCGCGCTTCGAGCCTTTGTGTTTTTTTTAATAAACTTAATTATTATTATTATTATCTAACTGAGATCCAACAAGCTATATGAATATGCCTCTCGAATGGCAAAGCTCCATGTGATGACGTGATCCCAGATGAATGAATACAAAGAAGCGTGGAGCTCAGCTTTGACTGAAAGGGTTTACCAGCTGCTCCTATTTATTATGTGGCAGCAAGAGACGATTCCACAGGATTTTAAGAAGGCAATCTAGGGTTCACCTGTCAAGGGAACCATAAATCTTGCGACAACCACCGTGGCATAGGCCCCTTTCATTGCGCTCGATTGCAGGTAAGATACTCTCTAGAATCCTGCTTAACCTTTTTAATTCGCATCTTGAGAAGAGTCTCCTACAGGGATGTCATTTCAGTTTTTTTCCCCCAGGGGTGGAGAGGGGGTGGGGGCAAAACCAACGCGTGTTGAGTTGTTTATTACTAGAGACGTCACTGTAGGCCAAATATCAATTTAAATAAGAATTGACAGATTATGATTGATGTTTTCTATTTTTATTTTTAAATGATCGAATAGTTCTTTTATTTTCCTTATTTATTTTATGTTACGTTTGATTTTCTGCTGATACCTACTGGAAAAAAAAATCTTACGAATTTAGTCGGGGCATGGTTGGGGGGGGGGGGCAATGCCCCTCCCTACCCTACCCAAAATTACGTCCCTGGTCTCATGCCAGAAAATCAATGCAGTTTCTGCAAATAACTTTGATCCATTGATCTGATGTTTGCGGCCAGACAGCTTTCGGAAAAATAAAAGGAACAGAATGTTGCCTTTTCTCCACTTCACCTATGTAGACCAGGCAAAGGCTTTCGACACTGTTAGTCATGGGCGCCCGCAGGGGGGGCAAGGTGGGGCACTTGCCCCCCTTGGATTGATTGGATAATTTTTTTTAGACAAAAATAGACACAAAATTTATTAAAGTAAAGAGAAAATAAAGAGAAAGTAACTAAGCTGATGTCCTGTCCGTTCGTTCACCATACAAATACGCTACAGTAAATTAAAACTATATTAAAACATTACTAAAAA